CAAAAACTCCTCAGATTGAAATAACTTAAATTGACCATCTTGCATTAAAAGAGTATCAAATTCTGAAATAAAGATATGTGCTGTGTATTTCCACTGAAGCAATTAAGTGTGACTTGTAAGCGATTCAGTAATTTTAAATTCTGTGTTTGTAGCTAACCCCATAATTAGGTTTCCATTGAATTTCAGTTAATTAAACAGTTTCCATCATTGCTTTTTCCCTTCAAGCTGAATGCACTTCAACTTTCTAAGCTGTTTTTCATTGTAAGCTTTAATAAAAGTGTGTTGGTCTTTTTTCTCCCCTCTAGGTTATGAGTTATCTTGGCACACTCAGTCATGTTGTAGAACCCACGTACATGAACATCTTTGATTATTTCTGAATTATTTTCCCATTGACTTTTGGCAATGGGTGTAGCGGGGAAATTAACATTCAGCCTGTGATGTTTTGGGAGAAGAAACACTCAGACACAAGCTTAGAACTTTTTCAAATGTATTATGTGTTCTATGCCAAGCATGGTCATTCCTTTTGCAAGCTCATTTTCAAAACTCCCTTCTTTGGGCAGCTTCTTTCCTAATTTCTGTTTTGAGAGGGCATGCAAATATTAACCATTGTCCTTGGCCCAATGGCAGAAGGTGGTCATCAGTAAATGTAAGGATTGATTGCTCACATTGTTTTGAAAAGAAACTGTAGTTAGCAACTTTTCCCAGAAATAGAACGTACTGACTAAGAGAGGTCTAGGAATATGGTCTCAGGGCTGAGCCAGAACAACTGACCAAAAATACTTTGTTTCATGTGCTTTTTTTATTTATTCTACTATGACTGAGGTGAAAAAAGTCCTTAACAAAAAGGACATTGTTATTTTACCTATTGTTTTCATATTACATTTGCTCTACCGCATATGCATGCTTCTGCGTCGATAACTAAAGAAAGATTTGCTAGTGACTTGCCTGGATTTCATGTTCTCACATTCCTCTCGAACATCTAGGCCCAACTTTGTTCAGTGCTGGGCCATTTCATGTGGTTTTTCTGGTTTGTTTTGCAGATGTATATTCTTGCAACAGTCTTTGGTTGGAGGAAAACTGTTTAATATCCATTCCCTGATAGAGAACTAAGGATCAGAAATTAGATTACTATCTCAGAAGATATTACTATTGCTAAGTAGAAAGGTATTAAGGTATTATCCATCTCTTGAAGGTAGCTGAATGAAAACCAAAAGCCATTTTGATTCTTCTTTACTTAGAAAAAGGGCTTTCTCGCTCTGCCTCTTTTAATAGGAGGGTGACTACAGCCTGTGTGTGACTAGAAAGAATGTGTCGGAGTTGTAACTGTAGATACCCCATATGAATTTGTTAAATATTTTACAGCCCTATTTTATATAATTCTGTGCTTTAGCTTTTATATATTCCATATATTTAATTTTATTTTTATGGATATTTATAGAGATAAGTATAATAAACCTTTTGAGTCAGGAATATGAGAAGGAAAAGGATATTCATCTTGTAGAATTCTATTGTCCTTTGATTCTAAGTCACCTAGCAAGCAGATCTACCTCATCTAATACTGTAAGGAAAATGTCAGTATTCCTTTTTTCTCCTATTTTTTTTTTCCCCTCCTCCTTCTGTGATTCTGTATTGTCTCCTTGATTTATTCTATGAGCATCTCTGGAAATTAATTGGAAGTAGCTTTGGGGTTTTTATTTGTAAAACTGCAGATCTTGCTATTGTATATATTCATAGGAGAATGTTTCAATTGTTCTCACAATCCTTGAGCTGATAAATGACTTGGAAAAAAAAAAATGGTTCGGTTAACTAAGATCTATTCATTAAGAGAAACTTCAAACTGCATCTGTATCAAATTGTCAGGTTATTTTTTACCTTTGTTTAATACTTCAATATACTGGGAAAACTCCCAGAATATCCAGAGTGTTGTCAGACTGTGTGTTTATTTTAGTGTTCTGGTAATTTTTACATGGAAACCTAGTAAAATGTGAGGGATGCACTTTCTTTTGCTGGTATTCATAGGGATTTTCATTGTTGCTTTTTTTTTTTTTTCTTTTCTTTTTGTTCTTAGTGTTTAGACTAGGTTTGTCTGTTGCTCTAATTCTTAAAGATGAAATTTAAAAAAAAATACACTGAAGATTCTGCTGTTTCCTAGAATCAGCAAAGAGTCTGAATTTGTTTATAACTTCTGATTTACATTCTGCTATTTCAGACTTGACTGAGTCTTCTGGTGCTCAAATCTCTTTTGGCTTCTATGTCATCCTTGGGACACAAAAAAATTAATTGAGCTGTTGTGTTTTTTTCAAGAATGCAAAACACATAATGCAGCTCATATCTATAACTACAGTTTGTCTAATTTGTTACTCTTGACAAATTAACCTTGACTCTTGACTGGCAAATAATATTTTTTTAAAAATAGAGCATTATTTTACAAGAATTAGATATTCTTCTTCTTTCTCTTGCAATATTTTAACTTTCTGCCATGCTATTCTGGTAATGGTAATGGTGCAAGTTAGTGTAATTTTTTTAATTGATTCCCATAACCTAAATCAGTGGTAAGCTGAGTATGAGTAAATACCTGGCAAACAGGTAGTCTTAGTAAGGTTAAAATATCTCCTTCCTAATTTCTAGTTCAAGATTAAAGGCCCATTTTTATAGATGACTTCATATAATCAGTCTAGACAGTCTAGTTGTAAAAAATATTTTTCACTTGTTTCCTCTTACTGAAATCAATAAGGTGCTTAAGATAGTGACAAATACTGACTTTCTCTGTGTCTATGTAATGACTATAGCATTGTCATTATAGTATAAATGCCTCTCTTTTCCCAGTGTTTACACAGATGCCTGCCTCCATGTACAAAGGATTAATTCTCCTGCTCATTGCGCTTAGTGTGTCTGCAGAGAGTATGAATAACCTCTTGAAAACCTCTTGTACTACTGGCCTCTATTCTGCAGAAAAAAAAAAATCATGTAGCAATAAGTAAAATTTTGGTCTCTTTTTAACCAGTAATTTTTGTAGTCTCTTAACTTGAGAAGCAAGTGAATGCCGGTAATGCTTCTGTAACTAATATTTCTCTTTAACTATCTTCTCCTTTAAGCCATCTGCATGTACAGCTCAGATTCACTTCAGGGAATGTTCTGTATATTCAGAAGTTGTGACTTTTGCACATATGATGAATGGTGTAGACATATTTTTCTTTTGTTCTTTAACTGAAATAATGAAAATGGGAAAGCATAGTTTATCTCAAACTATCTGAGGGTTGCTCTCTTCTCTCCATTTTCTCCTGGTTTGAGAATTGGCACTTTGCCATGGTGAACTCTGAAGCAGATAAATAACCAAAACTATCTGTTATGTTTTCCAATTTTCATTCCAGTCTTACAGCTTGTAATTTTCAGATATTTATCTCCTGAAGTCTCATTGTTTCACCCTCCAGCAGAGACTTGTTACTACAGTATAGTAATGTGAGGAATCTCAGTAAAAGTCTTCAAAAGCAGGGCAATATCCTAACCACCTGCTTTAGGGTCAGCTTTAGATACTGTGATATTATAATGCCTAAAATTTTGGTTTGTAGTTACAGCAAAGTGATTCAGATAATCAAATGGCAACAAGATTTCCAAACCTGTAACTAAAGAGGATAAATGACTATTAAGTGACATTCGGAAGTCTTGTGTATTAAGTGGGGAGGTGAACAAAACTAGTCCAAAAGAAACACTAGGCACAGAGATGGTTCTGAACTCCTGCCCTTCTCTGGCAGTTGGGGACTTGATGCAGGTTACCTTGGCTCACTCAAGTTCAGAACCTAAGTTCATCTTCTGAGATTAATAACCTAGATAAGCATTTAAAATTGTAGAATTACACTTTACAGGGCATATGGTTATTGTTGTTGCCCAGCATTTGCCTACTAAGTTAATGGTAATAGCATTTGTCAGGAACCAGGAAGCCTTTAGTCTAAAACCAGTTGGTGGAGTTCGAACTTGCACTAGCTGTTTTCCAGACATGTACCTTAGTGAGTGGGCTAAGGACTAATTTTGGTTTAGAAATCCTCTGCCCTTCTTCTTGAGGATGATCTGCCATGCATCCTGGAATGCAAAACCTGGAAAGCTGGTGACAGCATGCAAGAGGAAATCTGACTCTTATCCATATAGCTGTGACATCCAGCCCAGAGGCATGGTATATCATGCTTGTGTAGATTTCCAGTCTGAATATTTTAATGTGGTTTTGAAAAAGCAAGAGGATGCTTCTGTGTGCCAGATTATTTTATGAAGACTGAATTACTGAAATAAGAATTGCTGCTCCCTAAGGAACATGTTGTCAGATGTTTGTTAAATAAGAACAAATTGCAAGAGAATGAAATACTAACTACGCTTCATTTATCAAAAGAAAAGTAGTAGGTCTATTGAGAGATCTATAAATACCTGCATCAAAAGATAGGTTGCTTTGCTTGGTGATTGAAGCAGGTAATTTTATGTATGAAAGCTATGCTATGTGCTGATTTTTTGTCATGGTTTAACCCCAGCTGGTAACTAAGCACCATGCAGCCACTTACTGAAACCAGAACACTCTCGTAATAGAAAAGGAAGCAGATTTTTGTTGTGCACAAATAATCATAGATTTTAAAAAATCCTATGTCCAAAGCCTCTAAAAACCTAGTCTTCTGAGAGAGCCGACTTTAGATATTTTTAATTATGAGACAGTAGAGCAACAGAAGGTTATCAAATAAATGAGAAAAATAAAAGATTACTTTTTAGATGTTTTTAGTTCTAGAACTGTTCCTTAGCATGTACAAGTATGTTCTGATATGGAGTTGTAGAATCTCCAGTATCAAATCCAGGTTTTAGTATCAGGAACAAAAGTAGATTGCAATTGCATGGACCTTGCAGGAAAATAGCCTGCTAATATCTGTCAGCTTGGTAAATTTTGTATTATATTTGACACATTACTTTACAGCATTGTTCGCTTGTTTGTGATTATTTCTTTCCTTAAAAATGCTATGTATTTTCAGGTTGAACGAGTTAATTGAAACATTTCTCGAAGATAATGATTCTGATAGCAGTCTGGATGTTGGTGCTGACATGCGCAAGATTAAGTATTGCTTCATTCATATGAAGGTATTTTTTTTAGACATAGATGGAAGTGCAGCTGGCACAGAAAATAATTTGAAGACATTCACGGTTGAAAAGTGTCAAAAGAAATGCAATATGCTTGAGAGGCATTGGAAGGGGTAAAACAATTGAACTGTGAAGTCCGTGGAGGACTGACAGAAATCTGAAATTCAGGATTTTGTGGAAACCCCAGCAAGGATCTCAGCATGCAGTAAATTGTAAGAGAGCACAGAAAGTTATTGCAATCAACACAGACAAGTTATTTGTATATGGATAGATGTATCCATCTGTATTCCCAACACTATGGAGGCTTTATTTTGGACAAACTATGCTGAAAGGGATAAAAACACTATATCCCTGAATCTGTTACAATAACTCTCCTGGTGGTGGTGTAAGCCCTTCTAAATCATTGAGTAAACAAGATACATTTAAAGTAGGAAGAACAAGTAAAAATAATTTGTAAAGCAATAAAAGTTAATATATACTTTATTTTGGGGTGTAGTTTTCCAATATAATAATGTATACATTCCTGATCTTAACTTACTGTCTTTAAATAATTAGGTGTAGTGTTGTAGTGTTAATACTGGAAGCTCTGTGATACTAGAGAACACTGGAATTTATGTAAATACTTAGCTGGAGGTAAAGTTAAAAGTGTGTGCTTTTTTTTTTTCTTCTAACAGCAACTAATGAATCATTCAAAGATTTCTGATAAAAAACTGCCCTCACAAAACATCTTTGAAGAAAAAGACACTAACAAAGAAGCAGGAGAAGAAGAATTGAAAAAACTGAAAGAAATTCTGCAGCAGAGAGACAATGAAATCAGTATCCTTTGTGAGGAAAAAAATAATATATCGGTTTGGCTACAATAGTTTTGTGTGTGTGAGATAGATGTTAGCTATATGGAAGGTAGTTCTCTCTACTGACCCCACTGTGTTAAAGCAATTACTCAGTTCCCAACTTCTATGTGGCAGCACTCCTGCTTTGCACCTGCTTCTATTTCAATTGTGAACCAAACCAAAATCCTGGATCCAAGCACCACTTAGCTTTAGAATGGTCCAGCCAAGATCCAAATACCGTGGATCAGGCCATGCCTAAAACACTCTCCTCAAGCAAATTAAACCATTTTTTAGAATTGGAAACTCTGATGCTATAAAAAGACCAATTTATTACTTTAGAAAGAATAGAATTTCCTGTAAGTGTTATTTTTAGCCGAACGAAGTGCTACTTTGAGGACTATTGGTCTATTTGCCTTGAGAATAAAAATAAAACTAGCACTAGTTACTGCAACTTTAAAATTTAAATTAAAGCTAAAGATTTTTGCAGATAAAAATACTAAACCGCTCAGATGTGCTTTGTCCATTTCACTGCCTCACAGGAAACACATGAGCAGCTGCAGCATTGCACGATGGGTGGGATTTATTTTTAGCAGGTTGACAGAACTGTGGGGAGACTGCAGCATCACTCTGTCCCTAACTTTGTGGCTACTCAATGGGAAAATTTGAATATGACAGGGAACTGAAAAAAAAAAAAAGTTTTGTTTTGATTTTGAGTTTATAGGTAACAGAGATTCTTTCACAGTTATTAGTTAAAAGCAAACTCAGTTGTATTCTTTGTGCTCAACAGTTCCAGATCAATTTTATATGTCAAATAAGAATGGCATTTTACATCAGGGTGTAGCATGCTACCAGTCTGAATTGAGGTGGCAGGAAAGCTTCTCTCTTTTTGCTCTGTAACAGAGGATGTTCATTTTCCAAGGTGCTCTTTCAGAGAAATTTAGCTGTAACACTGACATATCATTCCTTTTAAAAATTTCTTCAATTTTCATGTCAATTTTAAGATCTAGATTCCCAGAAACATTTCTTCCTGAAATAAATTATTTAATTTGTATGACATCAATAGTGAAAAAAAGCAAAACATCTCTATCAAATGCACTTGTACTTGATAGATATATACAGCTTCGTTTGCAGAAGCGCAAGGAAGAAACTTGTGTAAATCCACGTTAGAGTTATATAGGAAGAATATAAGAATTAAGACTTTGAACACAAAACTGATTTACAGACTCTGCAGCCACTAACTGACTGAGCATCATCATTAGAAAATTAATAACATGTCTAATGTGATGAAGTGGTGGGAAGTATGGAGGCTGTTTAGATAATAAACGATGAAGTCCTCCTTGCCTAGTGTAGCTAGGAGCTATCATAACAACTGAATTGTATTATTACTGTCTAGTCCAGTTAATAATATTCCCCAAAGACTACTTAGATTTTCTGCTGTTCATTTAGAAGATTAATTGGGATAAAAATGAATAGCATATCAAAAAATATATCACGAGGACTCTTGTGCTTTTGGCTGAATGCACACAGGATTGTCATTATAACCCCTCTATAAGCTGTTCGGCAATACGTATTTATACCGAAAATGCTTCCAGTAAATACATAGTGTTCTTGGAAGAAATTTCCTAAAGACCCATTCTGCGTTTTAGTAAGGCTTCTTATTGTGAAAAGCTTACAGATGTGATGTATTTACCAGGCTACCTGTAAGTTAAGGGTTTTTTTCCTTTTCTTTGGAAATTTTGCTTATTACAGAATTATAAAAATAAAAAAGGGAATGTCACACAATGGCAATAAGATACTAGAATTTTCATTCCTGTCTGTCTGTAAATGCTTTTATCAGGTGTTGATTGATTGGAATTGACAATTGTGGTCAACATGTGAATTTGTTACTGTTTAGTAAAAATGAATCTGTTTGGAAAAACTAAGGTGGCTGAATAGAATTACAAAGAATATGCCCAACTCCAAATTCACATTCGCATATAGACTTTCATAATATAAATTGTTCCGCCTGGAGAGGAAAAAAAAAAAAAAAGACTTAGGGATAAACAAAGATGATTGTTGCTTTATAAAAAAAAATGATCCTTAATGGTTTCCTTAATGTATCTTACAGATATTCTGGTAAATATACTAAAAAAAGAAAAAAAGAAAGCACAACATGCTCTTTTCCAGCCTAATGCTGCCTCTACTGGTTCTACAATCCTGGAACAGTCTCTCTCTATAAACTTGGAAGAAAGTAGGAGCCCATCCAGCTGTTTTAGTCTGAAAGAAGCAAAAGATTCCAGCTTTTCAGTCCACAGACTACCTTTTCTTTCCAGACAAACAGGTCAGTGTAATTAATTAAGTGAGCAGTTATTGGATTATTGCAGTATGATTTACAGCATAACATTCATATGTGCACCAGAACAGGAAAGTTTTATTTTCAATATCAGCCATATTGTAATAATTCTGCATCCACAAATGCAGGGATTTAAATTTATAGCCCTCTCAAGGTGCTGATGGCTTTTACAAACTGATGTGAATACTCTGAACACTCCTCCAAAACCAGAGTATAAATTCATTTGCAGGCCCTTGAGTCTTTGAGTAAGTTCTCAGAAAAGGATTTTTTGACTATAATTCATTGAAAAATACTAGGAAATAATATTTTTTCCCCTGAAAGAATTGAAAATACTGACTTTTAACAATAAAGAAGTCTACACTGGAACTACAGATAGTGAGACAATATTTGTGCAGGCACTATTAATTGTACAGTATCCTGAAACACCAATAAAACCATTATTTCTTCTTTTTTTTTTTTTCATCTTCCAGCCTAGGAGAGAAATCTTGTATTCAAATAAAATGAAATTTCATTAATTATGCTTCTAGCTCTGATATCAGATTGTGAAACATTTTGTGATTATCTTTAAGACCTTTTTTTTATATTATACACTTTAAATATGTGGGCTTTAGTTAGCAATTTTAATAAATGATGATGATTATTTCTATTGTTTAAAAAAATGAATATGATTAAGTGAACTGAGACCTTAGTTCCAGAAATGACAAATAGCTCCATTTCTGTGCATGCGAGCAGCTTCAGTGAATAGTACCTTTCTGGAGCAAGACCTTAGTAAGTGTGAACAAAGTCAAAATTCTTATTCTGATGTATTTAAAGCATATATATTTTAATTGTTTCTCAAGTAGTTTAAGAATTCATGTTGTTTGCAAACAAGTTAGAGCTGAATTCCTAAATAATTCATTCACTTAGAATAGCTAACACACTCAAGATCATTTTACCATGTGCCATGCCTTCATCAGCAGATGAGTACTATTTGTTCATAGGTTACCGATGAAAGATTTTTATCTCTTATAATAAAGCTAGTGTATTGTTATTCATGCTTTATTCTGATTGAGCTGTTTGGGTTTTAAAATTTAATAGGTGAACATATCAAGTACCATTGATTGAAAAAAGAATTCTTTGTGACAGATGGTTGGCACAGGGAATCTGCCACAATGATAAAGTATTTTTGTTTTGGTTAATAAGTAAAAGTAAATGTAATTGATTCCCATCCTGTTTGGATAATGAGTTTTAAATGGACATCTGTCTGGGATGAGTAGCAAGTATGTTTTGAGATCAGACTTTTTTAATATGATTGGATTGCACATTATATGATTTTATCATTCTGAAAGTAGCTGGAAACCTACTCTTTTGTTTCCAGTCCTCTTTTCAATCAGTTTTGGGTCAGGTTCTGATATTCTGTGTCATTCTATGTGGACACAAAAACAATGAAGTCCTCAATAACCAAGAAACTAAGTGTGAACATGAAAGTAAGGTTCATTTAGAGTTTAAAAATAATTTAACTTTTCAGTCATATTGCTTGAGGGCTACAGATAAATAAAAAGTTATTTTTGGACTATTTTAGGTGGCGTGATATGTCTGCATTCCTTTAGAGTGGCCTGACATTCTGCTACAAGTCTAGTCCAGTAATGTTGGCAGCATTTGGACTTACAATCTTCTGTAATGCAGAGCTGCTATAATGATAATGCCTTAAAACATTATTTCTTAAAATGCTTGCATTATTGTGCTTAGGGAATACTTAGAATGGCAGACGTAAAAGTAGTAGAAACACCGTTAATAATACAACACGTACAGCCTTGCCAGTATGCCTTAAATCCAGCCTCAGGAGACCAATTGCCTTTGCAAGAATATAACCGAGTGTCCAGGATCTTTCATGCCTTTGTGACTCCAAAAAAATATAAATAACTTTATTTTTCTCTTTCTTTTGTTTTATTTCTTGAAGTTCTGAACTTATCAAGCTTTAGCATTTATCTTCATGTTGTAACTAACATTTCTATTAAAGAGTTCTTGTAGACAGGAGATTATACATTTTTCAAGTCAGCCTGTAGAGTTTTCACAGTGTGATTCTCCATGGTACCAAGGGACATGTTTGAGAAAAATTTCACAGTATAACACTTGTAAACATACGCAGACAGTTCATCAGAAAATGTTGAAAAATGTCTCACTATGTACTTATACATAGTACACATCTTATATGATGGCTTTATGTAAAGTTTTGCTACAGAAGAATTTTAATGAAACTTAAATATTTTTTAGAAGTATTAGAGCTTTTCTGAAGCCTTTAAAATTATCTTTGAGATTTTCAAATATATATTAATTTTCAGATAATATACAAAATTCCAGAATGAATAATGACCCAAAACTTAGGAAAATAAAAGAAGTATTTGAGAACATGCAGTAATAGTTAGAATTAAGGCCAGAGTGCTCAAGAAAAAAAAAAAAAAATTCTGAGAGTCAAAGTCAGTGAAATGAAAGCCAGTACTAGGACAAGCAATCTGTGCCATGATAAAAAGAAAATAAATAATCGAACTATAAGTTACAGATAATATCATATGAAGACAAAGCCTGTATCCATATGAAGCATTCCACTTTCTTTGTAGGCAAGTTACTGGTTTGAGATCCTTACTTGCAAAGTACCATAAAACCTCAAGCGGTTATTAGTTTTTCCTATTTTATTATAAAGCTGTGACAGTGCAAAGATAGATTGATGGATTCCTTGGCAGCCAAAAACTCTTAGCTCTGTCTGCTAATGGCTAGGGTATAGCTCTCTTTCTATTCAACTCAGACCTGGACATGTTTCTGTGCTTCAGACTTTATTAATTCCATTTGTTCTAGCTAAGAATGAATGTCTTGAAATGTCTTGAAAGAACACCACCTGGTGAAAAGCATAGTGGTCAACTTACATAGCAAAATAAGTTATTCACAATTATGTAATTGTAATACTCTGATACCCACCAAATACATATTCTTACTTAAGGTTTGCTTTTTAACCTTCAAATTTCTGCATGGATTTGAAAAGCTTTCTCATCATGGTAAGTTTTTGATGGCAACAAGCCTGCTACAGTGATGAAATTGTCAACTGACTGGGGATACTTGTGAAATAATGGAAAGTTGTTTGATAGAGACTATTACGAAAGTGTGAAATGCTCTTCTTGAGTTAGCAATTACCATAGACCTTGTCAGGACTTACAACTGTTTCTTCTAATGTTGTCTTGCACTCCTCAATTAATATGGCTGTTAAAGAAATTCCAGAACTTACATTGTTAACCTCAAAAGTTATAAATAGTGAATCATGCACATTGAAAGATGAGACTAAATATTCGAATCATTAGATTCCAGAAGAGTGAGTTTGAAAAAATACAAGGGTACAAGCAATATTTACTCTTAATATTTTGGAAAACGTATTCTTCTGCATACCAAAATTTCAGAACTACCCGAAAGCGTTCCTAGAACCTGATTTTACAAGATTTTAAGGTTATGTTTCACTTTATCCATATAAATAATACCACAGGATTTAAGTATATACTTAAATCTTTATAGAAGCAGCAACTCAAACAATACAAATTATATTGACCAGTTAGCATGGATTGTGTAAGTAAGCAAGTTTTTATAGTGGTTAACTGAAAAGGGTTAACTGTTAAGCATTGCAGTTATCCTTCCTTACATCATCTGAGCTGGTTATTTATGACAATAAATAACAATATTCTTGCAAATTGTTACTTTCAAAATCCACATAAACCAACTTCCAATAACTGTAGACAGATTTTGTTGTATGTTTTCTTTATTTTATAATTGAATTGTTCAAATAAAAAGATCTGTTAGTGTCAGTAGGATCTAGAAGTCCTTATGTTTTCATTAGTAAAGACGACCATGCCTCATCTTAGAATAACATGCATAACTTCTACATATTCATTACTTACATTTCTGTATACTGTATTTTATGCAATTTGCAAGGATTTTTTTAACTGAAAAGAGAGAGAATCTTCAGCTTGAAATTCAGACCAGGACAGCTGGCAAGTAGAAACTTAGATTTTGCTGGTGTCTTAATGTGGATAGATTTCTTCAACTGTTTAAGGTTGCCAGTTATCCCCTAAAATTGCTTAGTCGATTGTCAGTGGTTATGTTGTTGTTGTAGTCTAAAACTTTAGTAGGACTGTGACTCTATTAATTATTGCAGAGGAGATTGCATGCAGGAATGGGAATGAAATTATCATAAGCAATAAGCAGGAGAGAAGTTAGAAGGAGCAAATGAATGTACAAAAGTTGTATATTGTTAGCTGAATTCATGTGAAAGAACCATAACTACATCTAAGAACAGAATGCTGGAAAAATTAGAAATTGAAATATTCAGAATTATAGTTATCCTGCTTTCTGCAAAGGAAATATCCCTTCTTAAGCTCTGCAGTTTTTAAAACGTATGACTCAGAGAATTAAGAAGTTGTTAACATAATAAGATTATCAAAAGGCACGATGAGATCCCACACAAGAGGCTATTGATAAAACTGAGTAGTCAGGAATTAGGCATAAAATACTGCTTTAAAAAAATATTAAAGACTATCAAAAGAGAGAATATTAAAATTCCTTCCTAATGTTTTATATCCGTCCAGTGTTAAAAAAATCGGGATGAATCATACAGAAGTTTTACATAATGAATTTTACTTTTCCGCATGTTCTTTAGCATTATCTAACACTGCCATGCTGCCACTTACCATATAGGATACTAGGCTAGACTGATCTTGCGTCCGTTCGTTATGGCAATGCCTATGTGTGTGTTCTTCAATTATCTCCTAAAACAGAGGAGAGGTTGAGAATTTGGTGATTCCCTTCTTATACCTCTTCCTGTTTCTGTGTAGAATACTCTTCCATATTACTTCTTTCCATTCCAAGTTACTGATCTGCTGAGGAAATCCCTTTGCCTCCTGCTTTTCCTACTTATCATGCTCCTTCTCATTTTATAGGAAGAATTTGCTTGATTTGGTGTTATAATAGTA